CAACGCAGGAGGGAGACAACAACAACAACAACAACAATAATAATAATAATAATAATAATGAGGATGATAATTAACAATAAAAAATAATCTTATTGTTTTAACCCTTTGATGCATGAATTATGAAATCTTCAACCATGATTTTTTTAACCATTTTTCTCATTCATCTTTAGGTGTGAATGAAACAAATTTCATATTTACATATTTTTTGTGAAATGTAATTTACAAATAATTTATTACATGTCCACCTCAGTGGACAGTGTGCAATCTGAACATGAAACATGTTGGCTTGACTTACTGAAGTACAAATGGAGGGGTTCAAATGCAATAGTCTTCAACAGCTGTGCTTAATAGCAAAAACAAATAAATAACAATTTTAAGTAGCTGTCCACTGTAGTGACCATCATGCATCAAAGGGTTAATAATAATAATTATTATTATAATAATACCTCTTCACCTCCACCATAATCACATATATTAATAAAATCCTCATTCTTATGGTCGCACTCTCACATTTAATATATGCAGATGACCTAGTCCTCATGTCTCCCTATAGCGCAGGCCTGCAGCAGCTGCTCAGGGCATGTCCTAAGTACGGTGAGCGATTTGACATCCTGTTTAACCCTAAAAAGAGTGTGGTCATGATTGCTGCTACTAAAGGGGACCTGAAGCTTAATTTTCCATCTTTTAACTTAACAAATCAGGTCCTCGAAGTGGTAAGCAAAGTAAAATATTTGGGGCACATTTTAAGAAGTGACCTCTGTGATGACGAGGACATTAAGAGGCAATGCGGTAAGCTGTACATGCAGGCTAACACACTGGCACGTAACTTTGGCATGTGCTCAGATCCTGTTAGTGTCCCTCTTTCGTTCCTTTTGTACTCCTCTCTATACAGCCCACTTGTGGTGCAACTATAGTAAGGTAGTAATGAAGAAGCTTCAAGTGGCTTATCAGGATGCTTTTAGAATCCTCATGAAGCTCCCTAGATGGACCTCTGCAAGTCGTATGTTTGTTGTGAGTAACATCCCTACTTTTCATGCGCTTCTGAGGCTCTTCATGTACAAATTCATCTGCCGACTGAGTTTTTCAGCTAACGCTGTTGTTAGAGCGCTGTCATCTTTATCTTACAGTGACACGAGGTACTCCTCAGTCCTTTTTAAACATTGGAACAACTGCCTATACGGTTTGTAATTAGAATGTGTTTGTATTTTTATTTTAATTTTACTTTATTCTTGTTATGGACATATCCCTTGTCTGAAATAAAGTTTGATTGATTGACTGGTTGGTAAAAATCAGGACATTAAACTTGTGAGTAAATGTCGCCATCAAGTGGCAGGAATACAAACTACACCCAGTTGGGTAAAGTAGCCACATGAATGCCTTCAAATGATGTTCACATCAGTCTGGATAAAGTTCGTTTTTCTTTAGTTGACACCTAAAACCACAGTTTCTTCTTCATCTAACAGTGAAACATGCTTAGACGGAATACTTGGAAATTCAGTTTTTTATTCAGAAAATAATCAGAAACATTCAGACCTCTACCCCACAGAGGAGAGCTTTGTTCCAAGAGTCGCTGGCTAGACTGATCAAACTGTTATATTTAAACTGTCTTTTGTAAAATATGTTATTTTTTATTTCTTAAACCAGACGAAAAGATCTTCGAGGTAAAAACTGCTGCATTATTTTTCTAACTCAAACACGTTTATTCTGTCAGACCGTTTGTGGTTTTGGCTCAAATTTGTTCTTTAGCTGGTTCCCAACTTTGAATTGTAACTAAAACGTTTATGATTGGGTTTTTGAAAGAGTTTTTATTATGTCATCATTGTTCGTGAAAACCCGATGGAAGTTTTTTAAAGAGTGTATCGTTTAGTCGATGTTAGCCTGCAGAATAAACACCTGCTGATGTAGTTCTTCACAGCTCAACCGGTTTCCTCATAGTTGGACTTTTATCCATTTTTGGGAACAAACAGAAATAACTATATGAATCATAATTTAGAATCGGTAGATTTCTTCATGAAGGTGGAAACATCTAGATTTTATGGTCCTAGTTTGACAGTGTTTTCAATAGAAAACCCGAAAGAACTGAAGCACAACAAGTCGATTAATCGATCCTGATATGAGTACGTAGAGGCTGCTCATTGGATGGAACCAGAGGACAGAAAGGAGAGGATGGCTGGGCGAAACCATTCTCCCATCTGGCAGATTTGTAAAGATTACCGACCGACAGAAAGCTTCCAGATTCGGTTATCACGGAGGATCAGAGGCTCGTGTCGGAATTAGATGATTGCATTACAAATCAGGGTAATTTGGAAATAAATTAGCCTCCTAGCGACGCAGGCAGTGACGCAACATTCCCAGACCGACGGGACGCGGTGATGGATGTTTGCACATTTCCGACAGAAATGCTCCGTTTTGTATCCGTTTAGTCGCTGTTACCGCTAAAAGCTCCGGTTCCTGTCATGGTGTTCCTGCAGAGGCTCGTGCAGCTGTCGGTGCTGATCCTCCAGAGCGGATGGTGCGGGGTCGCATCGAGCCCTACCGAGGAAGGAGCACTCCGGTCCGACCACGGGGAGCACGGAGAACCGGGCCACCAGGAGCCCCACAAGGACTCCTACAGCACATTCGCCTCCGAGTTTCTGGAGTCCAGATACCTGTCGGATGATGGTAAGCAGCTGGATCACGTGAGAGATGTCTTTTATTTATTATTCATGTTTATGCTTAAAAACACAAATAAACAACGTCTAACGCTTTTGGGCAGGCAGAGACAGGGAAACAAAGATTGGAAGGCCTTTCAGCACCCAGGACAGCTCCCTGTTGGCGCCTGCCACCCTTTTCTCCTCACACACACACACACACACACACACACACACACACACACACACACACACACACACACACACACACACACACACACACACACACACACACACACACACACACACGGGGCAGATGGGCTCTCCTCAGCAGGTTTCAGGTCAGAATGACAGGTTTTGCTTCTCTGCAGGTTATCCGTTCCCCACCGCCCCACCAGTGGATCCTTTTGCCAGGATCAAAGTCAGTGACTGTGGCGTCACCAAAGGATGCATCAGGTCAGAGACTCCCCATCTGCATGACCCCCTCCGTCTGTCTGTCTGAAGATCAAACACGCTTCGGTCTACCTGAGCTGAACACAGAAACTGACTTTCCGACGTTCTCTATTGGAATTACATCAGTTAGCTTCTGAGATGATTGAGGCTCTTTGTCTCCATCCAGATATGGGAAGCCAGGTTGTGACGCCGAGACGTGCGACTACTTCCTGAGTTACCGACGCATCGGGACAGACGTGGAGTACGAGATGAGTGCGGACACCGATGGCTGGGTGGCTGTCGGTTTCTCCTCTGACAAGAAAATGGTGGGAACCTGTTCTCAGACACATTTCTGTGTTTTTATTTCCAAAATCAAGTGTTTGTTTGCTAAATCCCTGAGAAGCTGTATGGAGGAAAAATCACACCGTGCTAGTCCTAAAAATGAACAAACGCAAAGTTTTATCATGATTTCTAAATCAGAAGCAAATCTCACAAATCTAGAATCTGAGACAAAATAAGCTGAAAAAGTTGAGAGAAAGGAAATAAAAGTTAAACAAAGACGTTTACTGAACGTTTTTCACTGAAACAAAGACCTCTTAGGCTACAAGGACTAGTCTGATGTTCACATTTAACATCCATCCATCTTCAGACATCATTCCTCACTAGGGCCATGGGGAGCTGGTGCTCATCGGGTCAGAGGCAGGGGACACCTTGGACAAGTCACTGCATAAAAAAACTGTACATGATCAGCCGTACAAATATGTAACTTAATGAATTGGAGGTAATTAGTTTAGACCCTCTGCTGGGTCTGGCTTTGATGGCTGTCAAACATCTGCCAGCTAGAAGGGAACCCACAGGGTGTGTCTTGGCTTTGGGAGAGGTGGTGGCTTCCCTTGACAGTCTGTCAGAATGTGATGTCCAAGTCTGGAAAGGCAGACCCAGTGGTTCTTTTCTGCTGTCTTCTGCATTTTCTCACATCATTTTGACTCTCAGCAGCGCTGCAACGGAGCGTTGTCCGTGCTACTGCTCTAACGGTTCATCGGGGGTTGTTAGGCGCGGGTTTAGCCTGCTCCCGTTCCTGAGGGAATGCAGGAAGTGCAGAAAGACCCGTTAGGGGTGGTTTTAATGTGGCTCAGAGATTTTCATTTGATCTTCTTCAGGGAGGGGACGATGTGATGGGGTGTGTGCACGACGATAACGGGCGCGTGAGGATTCATCACTTCTACAACGTCGGCCAGTGGGCCAAGGAGATCAAGAGGAACCCAGCCCGAGACGAAGAGGGAATCTTTGACAACAACCGAGTGACCTGTCGCTTCAAGCGTCCGTTGTATGTCCCCAGAGAGGAAACGCTGGTGGACCTACACCTGTCGTGGTACTACCTGTTTGCTTGGGGACCTGCGATTCAGGGTGAGAGAGAGTGCTTATGCATCAGTTCAGGTATATTTGGTGTAATCTCATTAGCGACGTGCTCCTACAACAGGTTCAATCACGAGGCATGACATCGACAGTCCTCCAGTCAGCGACCACATGATAAGCATCTACAAGTACGAAGACATCTTCATGCCTTCCACGGCCTATCAGACCTTCAACTCTCCCCTCTGCCTGCTGCTCATCGTTGCGCTCACCTTTTACCTACTCATGGGATCGCCATAAATCACAGCAGGCCACAGGAGAGGGGACGGAGGAGAGCGAGCAAAACAGCAATAATACATGTTGCCATTTGACCTTGATGCAGCGTGCACCTTCCACAAACAGACCGTATTTACTAAATGTGACATATGTCCATTATTACCTTGACAGACTAATTCAGATGCTGCAGAAGTATGTTAGCTCAAAACAAGCCAGCTGCAGAGTTCTGACAACATGATTAGTTAAAAAAAAAAAGACATTTCTTACGTTTTTGCCTTTTCGTCACACCTAAATGTTCCGGATCAGCAAACAAATACCAGGATCAGCCGAAGACATCTCAGGTTGTTCTGAAACCGCCGTTTTGGGATGGTGTTCCTCACATTACTGTGGAGGAACTTTGTCACACTCTTCTTGACAGAATACTTAGATTTTCCAGTTGGATTGCCGGTATTAAAGGTGCAACATGTAAGAATTCTATAGGGAAAAAATCACAAAACAGTTTCATGCCTCAGTCATGCTGGAAGGAAGGTTACAGTGAAGCAGATTTCCTTGTCAGTCTGCTGGGGGGGTGTCAGTTTTTCTCCTTTCAAATTAACTGAAGAGGGGACTTAGCTACTGTTAGCTACTGTGAGCCCATGAGGTTGGCAAGTTCAGGCCAAGCTAACACTGCATCGCCTGCATTTGTAATTCAACACCAGCTGGTTAAAAAAAAAACCAGAGTGGTTTAAAGAACCAAAACCAGTAAACAGGCGCGACCCAGAAGCTTTTTCTTGTACCCCCAAGAAGCCACAGCATCTTTTTTCTCTAATAGTAGGTGAAGCAGGCTAACATTGGGCTAACAATGCTAACAGTGAATTAGAAGCAAATAGTTGGCTCTAAAAATATCTCAAGCTACTTTTTCAATCACCAACAACTGGATATTACAGGGAATTGTTTGTGTGAAGGGAATAATGAGTCAGTCGGGGCGTTTTACTTCCTCTAATGAGTCGTTCAGAACTATAACAGCAAGCTAACAGCAAGCTGGCAAACAATCACACTTCCTCTAATGCTACTACTGTAATTAATGTAATAAGTGCTCCCTACCGTAAAACACCCGAGTGCTAGAATTTGTTCTGGGTTTTCTTCGGAGCAAGACATGATGTGTTGCTTTTGAGGTCTGTTCACCTCATTTCATGTTGTCAGATGGGTTTTGTTCAGGGTAACTTTTTACGGTAAGTCATGTTTGTGTTTACTCAGAAGATCTTTGTGTGATTGTGGTCATTTGTTTGCTTATCTGAAACATTTCAGTGACAAAAAACTGAATTAACCTGTCCGGGGGGGGGGGGGGGGGGGGGGGGGAATGCTTCTTCACAGCACTGATTATTCCACATTTATCTGAAAGATGTTTATTTATGATACAACATCTGCATATACTGACAAGTAAACTTGACCAGCTTCTCCACTGCTGCATGCACCAGAGGATCTGGGACTGTTCACTAGAGGAACGGCGTGAAGGAAGATGATCACATGCACACTTCCTGTCCCTTTTGTCTGGGTGGTGTTATGATTCTTTGTAGATTCTTGGATTTCAGCCATCTTATCTTCCTCAGCTATAGCGACTGCTTGTTTACAGGACTGTGGCTCTGTGGCTGCATCCAACAAAGACTGGCATGCATTTCCGATGGCCTACACAAGCAATAACCCACTGAGCAGGAGCTAACCGTGGGATGTGAACGCTCCGCATGGACATGGATTGTTTCTGACCCTAGGTTGTTCCTGTTGCGTTCTAATCTGTCTGAAAAGGCCTGCACATGTTAAAATATGTATGTGTCAGTCTACCGAGGCATTAATGTACAAAATACAACCGTCCTCTGCTTGGACGGATGAATCTGCATCTCAACAGCATAAAGACACAATGTCTGATGTTAACGTGACCTGTAAGGATGTATTTTTCTAAGAATGGTACTGTTAGAGAAAATAAACTGTATAAGTCTCAAATGGAAACGTCCAGACTGCAAGTTAACTGAACTTTCTTAGTAAACAGGAAACAAAACGTTCTCGTTTTAACAGATACCATCAGAGTTACACACCACACATGACATTCTGTTTACTTCATGTGGAAAGTGTTGGTTTTCTCCATCGTGTCATGTGAGGGCGGGTTTCTGTTTGAGTGCAGCCAATGCCCTGACAACTGCTCGTGCGAATGAGCCTCTCTCGATAAAAAGTACTGCACGAGGACGTGAGATTTGAGAGTGTGCGTGAGACGCTGCACTCGTCTGCAGAGTAAAATGAACTTTGGCTCCAGTTGTCTGTTGGTTCGATCTGAGGTTGCAGGAATATTTAAAGCCCCAGCTTGAAGTAACCATCTACCACTGCTTGTCTGCACAAACATACATAAAACGTTCCCGATCAACATCGATTGCATTCTTGGGAGCATTTTAGTTGTAAAATAAAACATAAAAAATCTAAAAATCTCAAGAAAGAAGTAAAACGCCAAAACACAGCCGACCTGGATCTGACACGACCCCGCCCGTGCTGGAGCTGTTCCACTGGCATACTACCTTAATTACTCGTGGCGTGGGATCAGCTGGTGTTGAAAACATTCCCCAGAGGTTCCGGTCCGTTCTGACATGACAGCATCAGCTCCGTGATGAGAAGCTCCCGTTCCACCACATACCAACGGTTCTGGACCGGACTGAGATCTGGTGACTGTGGAGGCCTCTGGAGTCGATGATCTGAGCTTTGTGCCACGGTGCATGATGCTGCTGGAAGTAGCATCAGAAGATGAAACAGCAGTTACTGAAATCCTTAGACCAGCTCCTCTGGCACCAAACACCACGCCATGTCCAAATGTACCTAAAAAACAACCAAGTGCAGCATATGTCTGGGTTAAAAGGCAAAATATGAAGAGTTGGAGTAGGAATTACATTTGAGACATCTCAAAATCCCTAAAAACCTAAGGAGGCCCTTTAAACATTGATTAACCAGCCTGGATGTGTTCCAGATGTTTATAAATCTATCGTTCCTACTTAGAAACGGACATTCCGGATGTCCATAACAACATTCAGATGCAGACAGCAGGGATAGTTTTAATTTCACCTGTCTGAAACAAGAGTTTATACTAACAGTTGAATTAAAGCTTTCTGAAACGAGTAAGAGTTCAGTCTCTACTATTATATCCATTTTATATAAATAGTGTATTTGTGGATGGGTGCTGCAAACCCAATACACATGCATGGGAGACGTGACGTCATTTGTCCAGGGAAGAAGGGCGTAAGAATGTTCTTATGTTAATTACCACCAGGAAGAACAGATCTGCAGATAGCAGGATCCAGTCCAGCAGGGCAGCTGTGGCTACAGTGTAGCTCACCACCATCAGAGTGCGGATGGAGGAATGGTGCACTAGTGTAAAGCGCTTTTAGAGTCCTGCGATGTACATATTTATCACTTCTCACTCTGGATCTGAAACTAGCTAAATAAAATGTAGCCACGTCATGTTGGAATGGGAAGTTTGTTGTCAGAACCAAATTTTAATAAAAAATAAATCAATCAAAATAACATGAAACTGTCTCGATATGACTTTATTGCTTTAATTATAGCAGTTTTAAACTTTCTAACGTGGCTTTTATTTTGATAGGGCTCCATTCCCAACATAAACATCAGGGATAAAAACTATTCCACCTGTCCCGCCGGGTAGAAAACAGGAAGTGTTTTAGTCCTCCTCTGCAGGCTGCACTACATTACCCATGGTGCCAACGGGCCGTTAGTGCGGTGACGTCACATGTTGTCCTCACGCGGCACGCGGCAGAAGGACTGCTGAAGCCGGAGCGGTAACATGGCAGATGAGGAGGACCTGGGGCTCGCGCCCGCCGCAGCTGCCTCCTCGCCGGAGACCCCCCACACCGGCCGGCCCCTCTCGGTTTCCTTCTCCGAGAGCTTCCAGCCCGCCGTCGGGATGATGAGCCAGCTGCTGACGCAGCCGTCGTCCCTCAAGTTCGACAAGAACATCAAGCAGGCCTTCTACAACACCGGGGCGATGATCTTCGTGGCCATCTGCTGCGCGGCGGCCGTCCTGGTCTACTTCATCCTGGAGGCCTTCCTCCGCCCGCTGCTCTGGGCGGTGCTCTGCGGCACGTTCCTCCACCCCTTCAAGCACTCTCTGGCTCGGCTCGGCCGCTCGTGGCTCAGCGGCCTACAGGACACCGGGACACCCATAGTGCTGGGGACGCTGCTTGTCCCGGTGTGGTGCGTCAACTACGGGGCGGAGGCGATGGGCAGGCTGGTGCTGGAGAGGCTCACGGTGCTCCTGGTGGTCGGAGCCGGGGCGCCGCTGGTCTACTTCCTCTACCTGTCCTGGAGCGTCATCGGCGTGCAGGTGATCATCGGACACGTCTGCTGGGCCATCGGAGTCCTACTGGACTGCTTCCACGTTGTGTGGGTGAGTGACTGGACCGGGTCACCGGATTTGCCCTCTCCGTCCTGCCCTGGGTTATTCTAGAGGCATTAATCAGGGCAAGCGGCATTATTACTGTTGTTATTATCAGATCTAGTTCCCATGACGTGACGTGTTGTCTAGTAAACAATCTGAGATTAAAAGGCTCCACATTTAAACGGCCTGATTGTATCAGTGACATCCCTGATAATGGTTCCCGCTGTTGGGAATGCCTGGATTGAGACTTCCCAGACCCGGATCCCGGGCTCTCCGCCTCGGAGCAGCGTTAGGGTCACAGACGTCTGGTGTTTATAAATAGGAGAGAGAGCAGCGCCACATTGATGTTGTTGTCCGCTGAGCTTTTTCATCAGATTACAGCAAAAACGCAGCAGACCAGGTTGGAAACGCTCCAGCTCCTAGACGTGTCTGAAACGGACACCAGTGGGAAAATCCTGGTATTCAAACCCAGATGTGTTGGTTTTTACATCCAGAACCACTGACATTACTGCGGGGGGTGTTTTGCTTCTCTGCAGGTGTCCAGCGTTGTGGTGGGTTACCTGCTGGCCGTCTGTCTGAAGTGGAGTCCTCAGACGGAGCGCTACCTGAAGGCTTTGGCTCTTCCCGTTTGGGCTTCACTGCTCTTCTTCGTCGGTGAGTCTGGACGACGTGTTCAGACACATTTTCTCCTACTTTTACTCAAACCGCCTCTTCTCTTTTGGGAGAGGAGGCATTTCGACCACCTGAGGGAAGGGAAGGAGGCGGTTTCTGTACCGGCGCGAGGCTGTAGCCACGCTGGCCGCCGTGGCGCTCTCGGAGGGAGACCTCAGAGCTTCGGGACCCAGCGGCCCCACCGACGAGGCAGATTTCAGCCATTTTTAATAAGCGCACAGCATTTCCCCCATTCAACCGGCACATTGTAGGAGCAGCGGTGGCTCAGGAGGTAGAGCGGGTTGTCCAGTAATCAGAAGGTTGCAGGTTCAATCCCGGCTCCCACCAGAGATTGCTGCTGTTGTGTCCTTGGGCAAGACACTGAACCCATCCTGCCTGCTGGTGGTGGTCGGAGGGACCGGTGGCGCCTGTGCTCAGCAGGCCTCACCTGTCAGTGCACCCCAGGGCAGCTGGGCTACATCGTAGCTCACCCCCACCAGCGTATGACTGGGTGAATGACTGATTGTGTTGTGAAGCGTTAAAAAACACATAAAAAATAAAAAAAAGATAATAATGGGAGAAAATTTTAACAGCTTTAACTGTTTTTATTGTATTAAACATGAATGCGAATGATTTGATGTGCTACAGGACGGCTAGTGTTGGACCTTTGTTTGCAGAAAATCATGAAATGAACCAAAATCGCAATTTCTGCAAGAAAAAAATAGCTTTTCCTGAAATCGTTCGGCCCTGGTCTGCCGTCTCGTGACCTACTTTGTTGTTGATTTTGAGAACCCGCTCGAAAAAGAGATGCTGCCTCAAGCGGTTTCCATCCTCCTAGAATACAAGATAAATACATAAAAAGTGTAAAGCGCGGTGGAGTCCTCCGACTCTGAAAGGCGCTATAAGTGCGTCTCATTTATCAGCGTACAGAAATAAAATTCTGCTCGACGGTAAAAGCGGAGGCTTGTTGGATGGTCTGAGGTGATCCAGACACCGAGGACACAGCTAGAGCTTAGAGAGCTGCAATAGCCTGAGGCCTTCTCTAGAGCGAGCAGGAGGCAAACCACAGCTCAGATGTTTTATCTGCTACCTGCCATAATAATAATAATAATAATAATAATTTCAAGCTTTATTTAGACAGAAACGGACGAGTAACAAAAACACGGCCCCACCAGGGTTGTCCTGGTGCTAAGCCTTTAAACCTAAGGTGTGTGTTTCTGCGTGTGTGAACTCCCGGAGTGTTCCGGACTCCGCAGCAGCTCGATGATAACGGCGCTCTGATCTGTGTGCAGTGTCTCTGGCCGGCTCGTGGAGAGTTCCCGTGTTTGTGGTTGTGGTGATCCTCCTCGTCGTGGGCTCCCAGGAGAAAACACCTGTTCCCGGAAGAGGTGAAGGTTCATGACCTCTGTGGTATTTAGTCTCTGTAGAGATGCTGTTGTGTTACAGAGATCCAAGGCTGCGGTTTCATTATCAGACGGAGCTGAAAGCAGCAGGAATCCTCTAAAGTGACTCACGAGGGTCAGACAGGCGTAGGAATAAATTAGGTCAGCGCTCCGATCTGTGTAATGGGAAATGTCCTCTTCCTAAAATAACTTCACTGGAAGAGTCTTCCCCTTTCCTAAAGCTCAGCCAGAGCTCTGATGAAGTCACACACAGCCTAGAATAGGGTGTGAGCAGCAGCTTCAGCGAGGGTCATAAGACCTTCTGGAGGACACATGAAAAAGAAGCTTTCTGTTGTGCCCCCCCCCCCCCCCCCCCCCCCCCCCCCCCAGGAGAGCTGCCAGGACAGATGCTGTCGTTTGCAGCCAACACCATTTACATGGCCATTTCCTGCAGCAACCTTCAGCCGAGGCCTGAGCTCAGCACCAGCTCCACCACGGGTAACAACACTTCCTCGTTCAGCTCTCTCACCGTTTCACCACAGTGGGATCAGCTGCACGGTTTTGTTTCCTCTTCCTGCTTTTTTAATTGCTTCCTCTTCTGCTGACTTATCTTCCAGACGGTGTTCAGCCACAAGGCCCCGTGCCCGCCACCCCACGCCTCCGTGGCTCCCTACAGGCCAGCCTGCAGAAAGAGAAGAGCACCCGTAAAGCCAGCGACATCTACTTCATCCTGCTGGTCTGGGCCATCGTGCTCGTTCAGGTGTGGCTCAACCTCTGGATCCTGCAGCTCCTGCCCATCCCTGTGGCCGGTAACAACACCGCCGCTCCTGGTGACGTTCTGTAATAAACGAGAGCCAGAGCAGTCATGTTGTGTCCCCTTGGTGATCCAGTGTGGGTACTGAAGAAGCTGGTGGTTCGCTTTGGCCTGAAGAGCTTTGCGGAGCGGACCGTCAGCTCATGGTGGACTGTCCTGGAGAAGTTTGGACGTGAGCGCGAGGAGGCTTTGTTGCCTGGACCAATCAAAGGCCTGGCTCAATTCATGCTGCGTGTCGACACTAAGGTAACCCCTCTGACCCGTCCACCTGTCTCTGTCCAGGTCCTCCGTGACGACAGGAACTGAGAATAATAAATTAAAATGTTCTGGGTGTGCAAGCATCACAGCCTGATCCAAAACGTGGAGACGGTTAGCAGACCTGTTCTGAGACTCCTCCCGAGTAGGGCTGGGCGACGGAACAGCAGCGGTAGATATTTAAATACAAGTTTTCCTGACTCATGAGAACAGGGTGATAGAAAAAAAGAACAACCAATCAGATTAAATGTTGCTCATGCTGGACCAATCAGTGGCTGAAACGGAGCGGCACAGCAGCCAGAGGCGCTAACGGCTAGTGTTTGTGTAGCGTTAGCCTCTTACCACTAAAGTAAGTGAGCGCTATTAAAAGCAAAGAAAAAGATGGAGGACACAGAGCATGACATCATAAGTGACGGGGCTGTTAAGTCCTGCAGATGTGTTGCTGCTAGCTAACGTCGTAGCTGCTAGCTAACGTCGTAGCTGCTAGCTAATGTCGTAGCTGCTAGCTAACGTCGTTGCTGCTAGCTAACGTCTTTGCTGCTAGCTAACGTCGTTGCTGCTAGCTAACGTCTTTGCTGCTAGCTAACGTCGTTGCTGCTAGCTAACGTTGTAGCTGCTAGCTAACATTGTAGCTGCTAGCTAACGTCGTAGCTGCTAGCTAACGTCGTTGCTGCTAGCTAACGTCGTAGCTGCAGGTTCTGACATGTTGAGACAAACCTGAACCCGTCAGCCGCTGGCACAACAGGAAGTACCCTAATGCCGTTAACTAGACCGGTGGTTCCCAAAGTTGGCATCGGGACCCCACAGTGGGTCACCAACACGGGGTCTTGAGATGAAAACGATAGCTAAAGCACAGATTTCTGGGGTCACATGACTACACAGCTGCTGTTCAGAACCACTGAGTCCGATGAAGTTACCAGAACCTGTCTTGTTGCGGAGTGGATAAAATCTGTTGAAAGTGTGTGAAGGTCGGTGGTGAATCAGGCGCTCAGCCTGAGGACGGCGCGTCCTCTAACTGTCCCCCAGCTGGGCCGAGGTCCTGGAACTTAGGGGTCCGCCATGGGCTCCTGCTTATGGGCCCGATGGAGCCGAACCTCCAGAGTTCAACAACATGGGGCAGTTGTAGCTTGAGAGGTTGAGCAATCGGAAGGTTGCAGGTTCGATTCCAGCTCCTTGGGCAAGACACTTAACCCACTTTGCTTGCTGGTAGTGGTCGGAGGGACCTGTGGCGCCTGTACTCCACAACCTCGCCTTTGTCCGTGAGCCCGTCATCACCAGGGTGTGAACGTGTGTGAAATGTGAATGGATGAATGGATGAATGACGCAGTGTAGTGTAAAGTGCTTTGGAGTCCTCAGACTCTGAAAGGTGTTATACAAGCGCGGCTCGTTTATCACTTAACGTGGTCCTCAGGGCTACAGCTACCTGGTGAAGCTCGAGTCCAAGTGAGGACTGGTCAGCAATAAGCAGAAAACACTTTTTAGCAACCAGTTAAACCAGTACAACAGACAGGAAGTGACACATTAAACATCAGCATGTCAGACAGGATGTTAAAAAGGTTTCCAGCCTCCAGGTGGATTTTTCAGCACCACTGATTTTCAGTTACGCCCAAACTGTTTGGTTTTATCACAGTTGTTATTTAAAAAAAACTTTCAACTGGGATGCTGTTAGAGTTCCCGTCTGCCCAGTAAAGCCCGTAGGACCACCCGCCTCCCACAGTCTGAGCTCTTACTGCTCCCACCCAGAAGAGCAGGGGACTAGCGTCTTCTTGTTTCAGAAGTCGATGTGATGACTGATCCAGTAACAATCTTCCCAATGTCTCTTTGTCTCCTCCCCAAGCTCTGGCATTGGCTTAACAAGCAGGTAATGTGTGTGAGTGAGTGTGTGTGTGTGTGTGAGAGAGTGAGAGGTCAACAAGGGTAGATAAATTACACCTGTGTGTGTGTGTGTGTGTGTGTGTGTGTGTGTGTGTGTGTGTGTGTGTAAGGTGTGAGCACACCTGATAGCTGCTTGGACTGGCTTTTTTTTGTACCTGCCCACCACTGCCCCCCCCCCCCCCCCCCCCCCGATGTGTTTTGTTGCTGCTTTCCTGCTTTTCTGTCCTGAAGCTGCAGCCTGGAGGCGGCGGGAAGCGTCGATCCCTCCGCCCCGACTGTAGCTTCACCGTCACGTTTTGAGCTGCACTGAGAAGCGAAGCAGAATCTGTTTCATTAACACAAACATCTGATGTTTAATGATTCAGCAGCATTAAATAAATGGGACTCGAACAAAACAAAGACAGGGTATCCGCGGGTCCTTAAAAAGTCTTAAATTTGCTTTTCCAAATTTAAGGTCTTGAAAATCCTTAAAAATGACAAAAAGTCCTTAAATACAGTCTTCAAAGGTCTTAAATGACCAAAGATCCAATAAACAAGATTCTTTTATTTCTATAAGATTTTCGTGAATTTCTAGTTAGCGTTCAGCATTTTTTGTGTACGATGTTGCCGTAAGCGGAACCGTACACATTCAGTTGCTTGTGAAAGGGGGCTATTTTTAGATGAGCACGTTAGCTGGTTAAGCTAGTGGGAGCGTGCGCCATGGGGAAGTGCAAGTTTAATGGTAACTGGATGGTTAATCCCACGTTCGTGACGTGGTTAGCACCGGTTCCAGGCAATAGATGGAAATTATAGCTTAAATTAAATTTTAAAAATAGCTTAAATTTGGTCAAAGTGGCCTTAAAAAAGGTCTTAAAAAGTCTTAAATGTGGCTCCCTTACACCTGCAGATACCCTGAATGGAAACTCGTACTGTTTGTCAAACCTTCAGCCATCAGTTGGAAATGAACTAAACCGAGCTAAATTATTATATCTGAGGAAAAGTAACATTTAGTTATGAAGCTAGTGGTTTTAGGGTTTGGGTCTATCAGTGCCTTGTGAGTCAGACTGGGGGATAAAAGCTCTGTCACTCCCGTTTCAGGAGGTGGACGTCAGCCAGAGGAGAGGTGAGCAGACCACAGCAGGATATGGAGTCATATGACCTGATATCCAGATATCTCTCCTCTGATTGGCTAACAGCAACATGCCTCTACCCCTGTTTGTTCTGATGTTTTATCTCCACAAGTAACAAGTAAACAAAAACAAGTAAAGACAAACAGTTTCTCAGTGAATGCTGTAATGTTTATCGGTCTTTAATTCAGAACTAAGTTTATCGTTTTATCTGCTCGCGGGAAAAATGTGAATGTCTAATGTTCATTTATGGTTTTTTACAGCCGTTTAGTTTATTTGTTGTGTTTTAGTAATTAATTAGATGCAGTTGCTAAATGAGCTGTTTCTGTTGGAACGACCACTTCAAAGTATTACATAAGAAGGCATCCACAGGACCTTGAAAAGTCCTAAAAAGTTTTAAATGAAGGAAAATTAAGACCCTTAAAATGTATTTAAAAGTCTTAAATCAATTTGGTAAAGTCTTAAATTAGGTTAGTATTGACGTGAATTTAAAATATGTTTGCCTTGTACTTGAAAACTTATAGGGAGTGATTTTAGTTGTCATTTTTTCACACTCCCTGAATTTGGCCGCATGAAAACTAAACGCATATAAACTAATAAAATAAAATGATTTTAGTTATTCTGTGCCAGCTTTTTACTTGTACCGTACCACATGACTTGCTGTACCACGGGGCTTTAAGTACCACGTGACTTTACGTAACACGTGACTTTACGTAACACGCAACTTTACGTAACACGTGACTTTACGTAACACGTGACTTTACGTAACACGTGACTTTACGTACCAGGGCTGCTCAATTATGGCAAAAACAATTATCACGATTATGGTGACTGAAATTGAGATCACGATTATTTAGGACAATTTTTCTATTTATGCTGATTTTATTTGTTTTTATTCAGTCATAAAGTTGCTCAGGGCACAATCAGGACAACAATAAATAAGAAACAAGATGATCACTAAAATAACTCCTGATTCCCAGTATAAAAAGACCAACATACTTATAGCTCATAGTCTATGACCCAAGGGCTATAGACCTTGGTTTAACTCATGTAAGTCTAACCAGTACAGACCCAAATACCAATATCTGGCAAATACTGACAGCAAGAATTATACAGTGGCATTTATAACAAATAAATGCAAATAAATTGATGTTCACAAAATGTTGCATAACATTTATTGAGTCGTGTCAAGGTGCTGTAGGAGAGTGCACTAGCACCGTGTCCTCGGAGAGATTAGTTATTATTTATCAGCGTGAGGAACTTGTTTCTACCTTATTTATAAACTATTTATTTCCAAGTCGTCCATCAGTTGATGTAATAATTGTCCCAACCACAGCTGCACCCCCCACCCCCCAACCCGGTCTCACAGCAATCAGGGGCAAGCTGCACGTGTGTTTAGCACGCCGCACGCGCACATTTAGCCGTTTTTAGCGGCTCAGGAGTCCGCAGGTGCGGTGTGTGTGTCACTCACTCTGGTTACTCCAACAGGGAGCCGGCTCCGAGAGCTGTCTTTAGCGACCGACACATCACTTCATCATTCCCTTTCCTAATGTTGTGAAGAACGGTCCGGAGCGCAGGCGGAGTGTTTAGCTAACCTGCAGGAAATGTTGACGACAGTTATCCAGAAAGTAGCTAAGGGTCACCAGAGATGTTTCTGAGGTGTTCGCTAGGTACTTTTAAGATTTAAAAAGTCAAGAAGGGGGTCTGAAAAGCTGTTAGAAATAGCGTCAAAGTCGCCAAGTTGGCAACACTGTGGAGGAGCGCATCATTTGCAACTCAGGGCAGCGCAAGTGGGAGGAGCAAATAATCGGCTTGTTTTGTTTTTTATAATCGTTCAAAACTCAGATCGTAATCGTGATTAAAATTCGATTAATTGAGCAGCCCTAACGTGACTTGCTGTACCACGTGACTTTATGTAACGTGACTTTACGTAACACGTGACTTTATGTTACACGTGACTTTAAGTAACTGGTGACTTTACGTAACACGTGACTTTATGTAACACGTGACTTTAAGTAACTGGTGACTTTACGTAACACGTGACTTTATGTAACACGTGACTTGCTGTACCACGTGACTTTATGTACCACGTGACTTTAAGTAACTGGTGACTTTACGTAACACGTGACTTTATGTAACACGTGACTTGCTGTACCACGTGACTTTCTGTACCACGTGACTTTTTGTAACACGTGACTTTACATAACACACGTGACTTTACGTACCACGTGACTTTACGTAACACGTGACTTTTCGTAACACCTGACTTTACATAACGTGACTTTCTGTACCACGTGACTTTATGCAACACGTGACTTCACGTACCACATGACATTATGTAACGCGTAACTACGTACCACGTGGCTTTACATACCACGTGACTTCACGTAACACGTGACTTTACGTAACACTTGACTTTCCCTACCATGTGTCTTTACGTAACATGTGACTTTACGTAACATGGAACTTTATGTAACAAGTGACTTTACGTAATATGTGACTTAAGTAACATGTGACTAAGTATCACGTGACTTTACGTACCATTACTATAGCCTTGCTGTCCCAGACATTAAGTGATGAAGTGGATAACAAAGCAATGCCATATTAACAGCGTTATAGTTGATTAATTAATTACGATAAAGTCAAAAATGTATTTTAGAAGGTCTTAAAAAGTCTTGAAAGGTATTAGATTATTTTTTAAATCTCAGCATAAACCCTGTGAGAGGATTTAAAACAGTCAAATTTATTTGATCAAAATCTTTAGGATTAATTCTTGGTTCTTTATTTTTAAATCTGATTTATGTAATGAACCTTTATGTATTTGAGTTAGACGCCATGTCATTAAATCAAAAAGTCTTAAAGAGCACAAACAAGTGCAGCCTTAATTAAAGAATAAATGGTATAATTTTACTGCATGTTGTTATTCATCTGGAATTTATTTTTCTAATTTTTTCATGTTGTTCCAACAAATTCAGGTTTGATTGGATGTAAATGAGTTTAAATTTGTTCAGGTAACTTTTCTTTTTCTGAAGCGGACGTTTGTTGTAACCGAGCACAACAATAAGTGAGCCGAATGGGAAACTTGGAGGAAAATTCACTATTTTTCTGTATATTCTTAGTGACTCGGCTCATAATCAGAAACAGATTCTTGTTTGAAGTTTCCATTTTTTTGTTAACCAACTTTTGCTCGGTTTAAATTCTCCTCCTTAAGGTAAGGCATAAATTTATGTAGATTAATAATCTGGATCCATGACCTCTCATAATAAATAATCTGTACTGATTACCATAACATGTCACCTTCCATGTCTGATAACACATTTCTTTATCGGTGGATTAATGACCAAGAACCATCTCCTCCTTCCACCTTGGTCTCCAGTAACTTTAACGCTTTAGTTAAATTAACACCAGTAAGCATAGAGAAACCTGAGTTAACCCCCAACATCTTAGAAAGGGATGGACTCCAAACTAAAAGTTTGGGTTTTCTTTATTTTCACGACCGTGACCATTTACCCGGGGGCCAACAAGCGCCGAACACCTCTGGGAACTCCTTCAAGGAAAACTGTCTCAGGTGAATTCCTGTTGAAGCTCATCAAGAGAATACCAGGAATGTGCAAAGCAGTAATTCGAGCAACGGGTGGCTAAAATGTAAGAATAAATATAAATAATGCATAAATAACAACAATAAATATAATAAAATAGGATATAAAAGGTGTTTTCAGTTATTTCACCTTCTCTGGTTAAGTACATAACTTCATTCATAGTTCTGGTGCCTTCAGTGAGAATCTCGCGATATAAATGGTCATGAAAATAAAGACAACACATTAAATGAGAAGGTGTGTCCAGACTTCTGGCCTGAGCTGGTACACATCAGTGAAAAGTGCCAAATGAAATAAATGAGAGCAGAATTGGGAGAAAAACCTCAGAAAAGAGGTTCAGTTCTTAAATTCTCATGAAAAACGAGGACATTGGGGTTAAAACTGCACCGATGCTTGTTTTCGGAGCTGGTCTCACCTTCTGAAGATCCTCTTCACAGTCGGGCTCAGACAGAACGATGATGATCACGCCGTGTCGGACATCACTGAAACGGCTGGTTCTGTTTGTTCGCCAGCACGAGTGCATTCACATCAGTAGAGTTAGTTTCTATGGAAACAACGTCTCGAGGGAAGGACGCGGGTTTCTCCATGTGTCTCATCTGAGTTTTTAGCTCCTTCTGAGTTCTTTAAACATCTGTACCCTTCTTTCCTCCTTTATGCTCGCCCTCGTCTCCCCGTACGCAGATGATCGTGTGGTTGGAGCGATCGTTGGATAAAATCATCAGCATCTTCATCATCTTCCTCCTGGTCACGGGGACTCTGCTCATGGCTCTTCTGCTCACCGCTATGGTCAGTTCTTTTACATTCATGTTGGCGACATCGGCTCCGATACAAACCTAGCATTTTGTTTCTCAGGTCCATCATGAAAGTGCTCACATCGTGGCGGTAACCAGTAACCTCATCAACGAGACTCTGTCTAACCACCCAGAATGGGCCAAGTAGGACGGATAATTTGGTTTTAATCTTTTGATGATCAGTTCTTCACCAGACATGAACAGCTTTCATGTTTCCTCCTCTAGTTGGCTTCCAGAACCCCGGGTTGTGCAGAAAGCTCTGAATTCAGCTGCTTCTAATGTTTATCAGCATGGGAGAGAGTGGATCACGCAGAAGGTGGGATCTCTTTTTAGGGCCTTGTTTGATGGAAATGGAAAGTTTAAGCCCAGAGTCCGTGACCCGCGTGTGTCTGCAGCTCCATAAGATGTTGGGAGAGAAGGTGAACAACACAGCGGTGATCGAGAAGCAGGTCCTGGAGCTCTGGGACCGACTGTACCATTCCTGGTTTGTAAAGGTAGAGCCGTTCTTCTGTGCTGTTACTGAGCGAGAACCTCCCGCCCCAGTGGCGTTCTGTTGCTAAATACATGTGTGATGAGTGGAGGACCAGGGAAGTGCGACGGGTTGTGAGACCGACACCTGGAGCCGTGTCAGAACGTTGTTAAGAAGCATCTGCTCTGCCTGACACCACAGAATGTGACCTACTCTGGTCGCCACCGACACAAGATGATGGCTCAGAGACAGAACAGCTGGCTGGGGGACATCCTGGACTGGAAGGACATCGCCTCCTTTCTGCAGGAGAATATTGAGACGCTGCTGTCGGTACGGCCGACTCCTCCAACCCGGTCCACCGGCATATTTCGAGTCAGAGCCTGAAACTGAAGATGTTCTCTGTGGTTTTGTGTTTGAATCCTGGGTAGATCTTAGAGTCCCTGTGGGTGGTGATGAGCAGGAACGTTGGCCTCCTCATCTCCACCACCACCACCCTTCTCACCGTGTTGTTCCACAGCGGCACGGCTCTGCTCAACTTTGCCCTGAGTCTGGTAGGAAGCCCACGCAGCAGGGGTGTGGTGCTTCAACGTGGAGGTTAACTCTCTTCTCCGTCATTCAGGTGATCTTCCTCACCACTCTGTTCTACCTGCTGAGCTCCAGCGGAGAATATTACAAACCCGTGAAATGGGTCATCAGCCTGACGCCCCTGTCTCAGCCTGGACCTTCCTCCAACATCATCGGCCAGTCTGTAGAGGAGGCCATCAGGTAATTCCCACAGAGCGACAGAACCGTAAAACAAACCCACTTGTTGTTTCTGACTCGGTGCGTTTGTTTGAAAGAGGAGTGTTCGACGCCTCTCTGAAGATGGCCGGCTTCTACGGCCTCTACACTTGGCTCACGCACACCGTCTTTGGCATCAACGTCGTCTTCATCCCCTCTGGTGAGTCGGCGTGTCGTCAGCCCTAAACCCAAACCCTCTTGGTTCAGTGTCACATTCTAGTCTTCTCTTTCTGGGCCTGAAGCTCTGGCTGCCATCCTGGGGGCGGTGCCATTCCTGGGGACCTACTGGGCGGCGGTGCCGGCGGTGTGTGACCTCTGGTTGGCTCAGGGTCAAGGCGTCAAAGCTCTGCTGCTGCTCATCTGCCACCTGCTCCCCACCTATTGTGTGGACACGGCCATCTACTCTGATATATCAGGGTGTGTGTGTGTGTGTGTGTGTGTGTGTGTGTGTGTGTGTGTGAGCTCAGCACGGAAACATGTGATTAACAAATTTCAGCCTGTGTCTGTTATCTCGGTGCGCTGAAACCAGGTGTCTTCTACTGTGGAGCGTCTGTAGCTCTAACGACGTCATCCTTCTCCCGTTCTGACCTGCTTATGTAAACATCCGCGGCCAAGCGGCTGCGCTGCGTCACGAGTGCAAACAGAACCAGGTTTTCTGAATTCCAAACCCTAATCCTGCAGTCACACCTGTCCAGGTAACACCTGTCCAGGCAAGCTGCATCCATAAGCAGGAACGGAGCTCCAGCCACCGTTTCCTGGTAGAAAAACAAAGTGCACGTCTGTTGTGCCTCAGTAGCTGCAGCTAGACGTTACTGCATACAGAAGAGCTCTGAGGTTCCCCACTTCAGAGGAAACTCGAACACAAACTGGGTCATCGCTATTATGCACCACAACTGCAGACATCCTGCTGAATTAACAAAGCCTCTGAGACGCTCTGGTTCTGCACCATGGTACGACCACCACCGTGTCCTAATGAAGAGATGCCATTATTCTAACAAACGCTTCTTTAAACCTTGCTTTTATTTTCGTTTTGCTCCAGCTGAAGTCGTTAACGCTGCACACTGAACTGAAACTGTTGTTGAGGACTATCAGACATCTCCTTGACTCTTTCCTTCAGAGGGGGACACCCGTACCTGACGGGTTTGGCGGTGGCAGGTGGAGCCTACTATCTGGGTCTAGAGGGAGCCATCATTGGACCCATCCTTCTCTGCATCCTGGTGGTGGCAGCTAACATCTACAGCGCCATGCTGATGAGTCCCAGTTCTGCATTACCCACACCGGTGCAGCCCAACTGGCCGGTCCACCCCATGAGGTACACGCAACAGCTGAAAGGCTGGCTCAGGTGTCGGACTAGACCTTTAAAACTGAACTCGCTCCTTTATTTCTTTTCTACCATTAACAGGACCTTCGTGGACTCCACTCCCTCTGTTCTGAAGAAAAGCACCGAGTCCTAGTGAGAGGGTTCCTGATGGCTGACTCCACGGGGCACTCGCCCCCTGCCCGCCCCCGCTTGGAGCTCCTCTAAAGGCCGGCTGGCTCCATGAGGTCATCCTGGACCAAGAAGTGAAGGTGACGGATGCTAACCGGAGCGAGTGGTTTATCTGAGCTGCGTGGGTCCGAGTTCTAGAGCGGGACCAGGAGAAGCACCGATCGCTCCACTTGTGACCAAACAGGTTGACTTTCACGGTGACCCGTGTGGAGGCGGCTGAGGCTTCAGTCACCAGGTTTCTTCATGAGGCCGTTCACCAACAGCGCGGGAGGACGTGGACATGAAGATCTAACCATTTTAGTTTCTATGATGGTCCAAAAGTCATCAGCCGAGGATTCTAACCGGTTTAACTCTAAAAGTAAAGATTTAGTTTCACCAACAGGATGTTAAACAAGAGCTTTTATTTATGTCTTCAGATGAGAAGTGATAACATGCTGAAACGCGGGGGGGGGGGGGGGGGGGGGTCCTCTAACCAACAGCTGTTTGTGTGAAGATGAGCTGAACTCTTCTGCTGCATAAAGACCTTCAGCAGTTTATTTCTTCCTTTAACGCGTTGCTCATGTTTACAGCCCTAAACGGAGACCGGACCGGGACGGTCACCACGGATGACTTCATGGTTTGGTTCTCACGGTTGAGACACAAGTGAATCACACTGATGTTAGTGAACTTCTGCTTTGTTTAAGTGAAAAAGGAAAGTTGTTTTATTTATTTCAAGCTTTAATATTGTTTGTTTTTTACACTCGTGATGCGCAGACGAGCTCCCGGCCTCTGAGCGGGAGCACATTTACACTCAAAGCACTTTTGTCACCGTCAGGATTCGCACGGGAGCACTTTCAGGATTTCCCGACTCGGAGACATCTGCTCACCTCCGGCGCTTTAAGGCTCCGTTATCCGGAGCGAATGGAAAGCCTTACAGCAGTTTACATCACTGGAAGCGTTAAGACTGCAGATGTTGTACAGATGTGAGCCGAGAGACTGGACTGGATATGCACTGAATAAATCTGGTTTTAATCTCCGTTGTCTGTATTTGTTCACATTGATCATTTAAAAGCATTTGTTATGAACTGGAGCTTTTAGAGATCAAAACCTGGATGGTGGGAGCTTTCTTCAGCTGAATGGAGATAAGACTGAGATCCTCATCTGTGCCCCAGACAAGCTGGTTCCCAAAGTCAGAGACTCTCTTGGTCAGCTTGCTTCTCACACCAAACCTTCTGTCAGGAATCTTGGCGTGACCTTTGACCCAGCTCTCACCCTGGATTCTCATGTCAGTTCTCTTGTTGGCTCTTCCTTCTTCCATCTCAGGAACGTTGCTAAGCTGAGTCCCATTCTGTCCCGCTCTGAACTTGAGACAGTTCTCCACACCTTCATCTCCTCACGCTTAGACTACTGTAACTCTCTTTTCACGTGTCTGAGCAGAACCTCCCTGAACCGTCTACAGGTGGTTCAGAACGCCTGTGCTCGGCTTCTGACCAAGTCCTCCAAACACACCCACATCACCCCGCTTCTCCTCCAGCTTCACTGGCTGCCAGTCAACTTCAGAGTTCATTTCTAGATCCTGGTTCTGGTCTATAGGGCCTTACATGGACAAGCACCATCTTACATTGGTGATCTTCTTAGTCCCTACACCCCCAGCAGGTCCCTGAGGTCCAGTGATCAAAGCCTACTGGTTGTGCAGCACCAGGCTAAAGGTCAAAGGTGACAGATCATCTGCTGCTGTGGCCCCCAGACTCTGGACCTCTCTCCCCCTGAGCCTGAGATCAGTGGACTCAGTGGTCTCCTTTAAAAAGCAGCTGAAGACTCACTTGTTCAAGCTGGCTTTTGTATGACCTTCTTCACCTCTCTCTCTTTATTCTGCTCTCCCCACCTATTCCACCTTCCTCAGGATCCACTGATTTCCCTCTTTCCTGTTCACTCTCTCTCTTTCTTAACATTTTATCTTTTAAATCACAATTGTCTATTTTTGCTCATTTTAAATATATTTTCAAACATTTTCTAAATGCTTTTTTATATTTCTACATTTTTTGTTTTTGTGAAGCGCCTCGTGATTTTTATCTTGAGGCGCTATAGAAATGATATTTTCTTCTTCTTCTTAGAGGACGTAAATCCGAGTTTTGCCCCGACAAACCGGAAAGAGTCAACTTTTCTGACTGAACAGAACTTTCCCCGGGTGTTGGTGAGAACCGAGTCAGCCGGTCATCTGTTCTGGTTTACAGATCGTCCATGTGTCAGTGGCGCTCCCAACAGATGGACAGAATAAATACCAAATCCAGGAAGCGCTTCAGTGCAGCTGCTGGTGAAGTCGGGAATGTGTCCAGGAAACACGCCGGCAGATCAAATGACGGCTGTCCGGTTCTCATTTAGTTACTGGGCCAATGCAGGGCTGCCTGATTATTCTGGTCAGCAGGAAAATCACTAATATTTAATACAGAGAAAAATGAGATGGAAACCCTTTAGAGAGGGGAGTGTAGGGATCTGTTGCACCAGCAGGTGGCAGAGTTTAGCTGTTTAGTGGTGATTAAAACTCCATCCACCCATTTTCAGCTGCTTATCCGGGTCGGGTTGGCGGGGGCAGCAGCCTAAACAAGGAGGCCCAGCTCCTCCGGGGAATCCTACGGCGTTCCCGGGCCAGCCGACAGACACAGTTGCTCCAGCGTGATTACAACCATAAAAATGCCTAATCTCAGCTCTGTTTAAATGAAAATCAAATAGTTTTGTCACGGTCACAAACTTCTACATTTTTAATCACATGAATAAAATCTGGACAGAGCTGCTAACAAAGCAGCAAAGAGCTGCCGCTGCAGCACAGGGAATAGAATTTTACAGGAAAACCTTCTGAATGCCACCACTGTGTGTGTGTGTGTGTGTGTGTGTGTGTGTGTGATGGGCATAATTATTCATAAAAGTTACAATCCGCCATCTTTACCCCAGGAAACTAAACGCCTCCAGATGGAAGACATGAACTTTTTTCAACAATGTAGATTTTTATGATTCCATTTGTTTAGTGAGCTGAAAAGTATTAATCCCAACAAACGTTGTGATGCTTTGCATCTAAAATCCGACGGCTCAGAACTCGTGTTCCTCTAATAAAACCGCAGAAGTGAGAAAAGTTCGGTACAAATCCACCTTCTGCTAGAGAAACTACTAAAACTAACTCCTGCTTGTGGGTAGTATTAAAGTACTACGGTGCTCGTCTGGTGACTGACGTGTACTCAAGTATTCCTACTACATGAAATAAAAACGACTGAAGTGTCTTGAATCCAAAGTAGGACTTCAATAGATGACAAATGAGATTTTACAGACATGAACCTGATTCTGAGCTCTCTTCTTCCCTCCTGGACTGAAGAGCGGCTCAGCTTTGATAGATTTCTTCACATCAAACACTTTCTCCTGACGTCTGAGGCACAAAACCCAAAGAGAGGTCTTCCTGAGCCAGCGAGGCTTAAATCTTTAGTCTCAGACGAGACTTCCTGGAAAGATGGAGGTGACGACAATCCAGAATTCAGTTTGATCTTTGCAGGATTTTCTGACTCGCATCTTTTCAGCGGCCAAATTCATTTCAGACCAAAGCCTGAATCATCTCATCTTCTGTCCTTGGATTGCTATTTAGTTTCCCCCCCCCCCACATGCACAAACAACTAGTGTTGTGCTATTTACTAAAATAAATAACTAGTTACCTTTACAAAAAGTAACTCAGTTACTGTGTTGATTACTAGCACCAAATAGTAATGCATTACAGTTTAAAGTAACTTTTAAAAGGAACATTTTTAAAATTGTACCCATAATAACCCAAATCATTGCAGTATGAAATATAATCATAAAATGTAATTTTCAACTAACTACTGTGCACACACCACCGCCATCTTGACCATGTCCCATCTCGTCACTCCTGAAAAATACAAAAAAATGGAGCTGAGAGCGTAGCTATGAGAGTGGGGTGGTTCTTTTCTTATTTCCTGTTTGTGACATCACAAACGGACTTTTTGAAATGGTTGTCTTTAGGCACATCGTTACTAAAGCCAAACACTGACAGAGAACGGATGGACATCTTACATGTTCTTGTGGAGATAAATCATCAGTGTTGCAGAACAAATGGAGTCAGTGGTAGAGTTGTGTTGCTGTTAGCCAATCAGCAAAGAGATGTCTAAATATAAGGAAGTAGGACTCCACAACCTTCCGTGTGAAGGTCTCCTCTCATGTGGCTCACATCTACTTGTGAAAGTGTGCACCAGGGCTATTTTTCCCAGAGCTTGACTTACAAGGCATTCATTCCCACTAGAGACCACTGCACATGTACTGACTAAATGAGTGTACAACACCTGAGCCTTAATGAGCCACTAGCAGCAGCTTTAACATTTCTTTTGACTCACTTCTGCAATTTCAATGGTTTTCAAATCCAATTAAAGACACTTTATCAGTGTAGATCACTACAAAGGGCCTACATTATTATCCGGATGTATAGATGAGTTGATGATTTCAGGCAGTAGCTGCACTGGAACCCTCTCAAGATTCTTAATTCTCCAGTTGTATCTGCAGAACAGATGCTTTCAGAAAATAAATGCAGCGGCATCAACACTTTTTGCAGCCATATGCAAAATAAAGAAGACGAATACGTCTTCCTGATGACTCAGGAGCGGTTGACGCATGAATAATTCAGCGGACCAAAAAAATATGGGGATTTGAATAATCCACTCTGCCCTGAAGGCTTACTCAGTCTGCAGCCCGACTCCATTATCATCGCACTGGACCGGCGTGTTCGCCAACAGCTCAGAGAAGAAGCTGGTCTCTCCTGCTGCAGGAGTTTCTCTGTTCATCACACACGCTCTTCAGCAGCAGAAATCACAAACAAATCAGGAAAAAGTCCATCAGACGGGGAGGTTCAGGAATAAAAAGCTGTCAGAAAGGAACTTGCTTTTTTTCCAGACACCTGATGCTTTTTCATCTCAAACCTGACATCTAAGGTCTGAAATCCTGAGACCTAACAACACCCTACAGTAACGTCTTTTTAGACTGTCAGTGCAGAACTCTTGAGACTTCAAGCGTGCAATTATAAAAAAAAACACTAAATACTCACAAGACAGGAGTAAAGGATTCAATTCAAAAATACTTTATTAATCCCAGAGGGAAACTGATTGCTGTAGTAGCTCAGAATAATAATAATAATAATCAAGTCATCAAAGAGTTGTTGTATATTACAATGGCTGTTGGCAGGAAGGATCTCCAGTAGCGGTCAGTGTCGCAGCCAAACTGAAGAAGCCTCTGACTGAAGACACTCTTCCGTTGTCGGACAGTCTTGTGAAGAGAATGCTCAGGGTTGTCCATCATTTTCTTGATTCTCTGGAGAATCCGTCTTTGCATTATTTCCTCCAGCGGTTCCACAGTCGTCCCCAGAACAGAACCAGCCTTTGTTATTAGGCTGTTGAGCCTTTTCAGGTCCCTGCTTCTGATGCTGCTACCCCAACAGACGATGGCTGAAGAGATTACACTCTCAACAACAGACTTGTAGAAGATCTGCAGCATCTTGCTACAGACACTGAAGGACCTAAGCGTCCTCAAGAAGTGCAGTCTGCTGTGTCCCTTCTTGTAAACGGCTTCGCTGTTCTTTCTCCAGTCCAGTCTGTTGTCCAGGTGAACTCCAAGGTATTTGTATTCCTCAACCACCTCCACCTCTTCTCCCATGATGGAAACAGTGTTTGACTCCACCCTGTTTCTTCTGAAGTCTAAAATCATCTCCTTTGTTTTGTTCACGTTCAAGGTCAGATGATTGTTTCCACACCATGCCACAAAGCGCTCCACCAGCTCTCTGTACTCAGCTTCCTGTCCATCTCTGATACACCCGACAACTGCAGAGTCATCTGAGTATTTCTGTAGATGACAGGTCTCTGACTTGTACTGGAAGTCTGAGATGTTCAGGGTGAAAAGGAATGGTGAGAGTACAGTCCCCTGTGGTGCTCCAATGTTACTGATCGCCTGGTTTGATGTGCAGTTCTTCAGCCTCACAAACTGTGGTCTGTTTGTCAGGTAGTCTTTAGTCCAGGCGATAGTTGAGGTCCCCACCTGTGTCTTCTGGAGTTTCTGGCAAAGTACATCAGGCTGGATTGTGTTAAATGCACTGGAGAAATCAAAGAACATGACCCTCACAGTGCTGCCTGCTTTGTCCAGATGACAGTGGGTTGGTTGAAGCAGCTGGATGATGGCATCTTCAACTCCAACTCCATGGCGATAAGCAAACTGCTGCAGGTCCTGATATGTTCTAGTTTGCTTATTCAGGTGGACCAACAGGAGTCTCTCCAGGACCTTCATGATGTGGGATGTCAGGGCAACCGGTCTGTAGTCATCATTGACTGATGGGCAAGTTTTCTTTGGAACTGGAACAAGGCAGGATGTCTTCCACAGGACTGGAACCTTCTCCTGGGCCAGGCTGAGGTTGAAGAGGTGCTGCAGAATCCTACAGAGCTGCTCTGCACAGGCCTTCAGTACTCTGGGGCTGACACCATCTGGACCTGCAGCCTTGTTCCTGTTCAGTCTCTCCAGCTGCCTCTTCACCTGACTTCTAGAGACAGAGAGGTGGGAGGGGGAGGTAACTGGGGCAGCAGCATCTCCTGACTTGGTTGAAGACAGATTTATAGAACCAGAAGAGTCCATGACTGCGTTAGAGGACAAAAGAGCTGGCGTGTGACAGGAAAATGTTGGATCAGAGGAGGATGGGATGTCTGATTGGCTGGGGATAGGCGAGGAGGATGCTGGGTTTGTTCCTGAACTGAACCTATTGATGAACTTGTTCAGTTCATTGGCTGTGTCCAGGCTGCCATCTGTGCAATCCTTCCTCTGCTTGAAGCCTGTGATCTTCTTCATCCCTGACCAGACATCTCTGATATTGTTCCTCTGTAGTTTGCTCTCCAGTTTCTTCCTGTATGCTTCCTTGCTGTCTCTGATCTTGATCTTCAGTTGCTTCTGTATACTCAATAATTCCCTGTCTCCCTCCTTGAAGGCTCTTTTTTTCTCATTTAGCAGATTCTTCAGTTCACTGGTGATCCAGGGTTTGTTATTAGCGAAGCATCTCACTGTTCTGGTGGGTATGATATTGTCCACACAGACGTTTATATAGTCAGTGACACATACAGTCATGGCATTGATGTCCTCTTCATATCCTTGGCAGAGTCATCCAATCTGTGGTCTCAAAACAATCCTGCAGGGCTTCTTCAGCGTCCTGTAACCATTTTCTCACAGTTCTTCTTGTCACAGGTTGCCACTGAACAAGTGGTTTGTATTCTGAGCGGAGAAAAACAAGATTGTGATCCGATTGTCCCATAGGAAGTCTTGTTTTGGACATGAATGCATTATTTACATTTGCATAACACAAATCCAGTGTCTTGTTTTCTCTGGTGGAGCAGCTGACAAACTGTTGAAATGCTGGAAGTGTAGCAGAGAGCGAGGCATGAGTAAAATCACCAGATATAGCCACAAATGCATTGGGGTGCTGGGTTTGTAACTTAGCGACAACGAAACTGATGGCATCACATGCACTTTCAGCAATGGCTGAAGGTGGAATATAAACGGTTGCCAAGACAACACTGGTGAACTCTCTTGGCAAATAATATCGGTGACAACTTACTGCTAAGAGTTCAACATCTGGACTGCAGAGACAACATTTCACTGAAACATGACCTGGATGCCACCATCTGTTGTTAACAAGCACTGCCATTCCACCTCCTTTTATTTTCCCGCTCCTCTTCAGATCTCTGTCTGCTCGTACAGTCAGGAATCCTGGCAGAGAGACGCTGGAATCGGGGATATGGTCCTGCAGCTACGTCTCAGTGAAACACATAACACTGCACTGCCAATACTCTGGCTGAGTCCTTGAAAGGGCTTGGAGTTCATCCATCTTGTTGGCCAGTGATCTCACATTGCCCATTATGATCGATGGAAGAGAAGGTTTGAATTTTCTCTTTCTCTGTCTCCGTTTTGCTCCCGCTCTGCACCCACGCTTCTTGCGTTTTAGCTCATTTGGGATTTGTGGCTTCAGTTGAGGTATTATTTCAGCCTTCCCAATGTTAATCAGCTGCTCCCGATTGTAAACCAGCTTGTTGCCCTGGTTACGCATCATAACAAATGCTCAAAAAGTGAAAAAATAGCAGTAAAAATCCACTAAGCTTTACAGCACCAGAAACAGAAAAGTAAAATGTCCACAAAATACCGTTCTCCTTGAGAAACTAGAAGAAAAAATGTCCAATAAAAGGCAAAACTTACATATAGTCAACAGAGCTACTCTAACATGCAGCCACCCAGAGCAGCGCAGTTCCGAAATGGTTAGCTACATAGGTGCTTGGTTTTGACCTGCCAGTGGGTCCCAGTGGTGAACAAGGTCGTTTTGTCAGGAAGTGAAGAGAACACTTTCTCCAGGTCAAGGATGAGGTCCTGCCCTAAGAGGAAGTATCTCAGGGTCTTGTTGACGAGTGAGGGAAAGCTGGAGCACGAGACGGGCGGATTGGTGCTGCATCTGCAGTGATGCGGGTGTTGTACCGGTCTGTCGTGGTGAAGAGAGCTGAGCCGGACGGAGAAGCTCTCGATTTACCGGTCCATCTGCGTTCCTACCCTCACCTATGGTCACGAGCTTTGGGTAGTGACCGAAAGAAAGAGATCGCAGATACAAGCGGCTGAAATTAATTTTCTCTGCAGGGTGGATTGGGCTCTCCCTTAGAGATAGGGTGAGCAGTAGGGTTGTCACGGTAACCGGTATAGCAGTAAACCCCGGTAAAAAAGTTGACAATAAAAATAACCGTCCAGTTTTAAAAAAACTAAATTATCTCGGTGGGTTTACCGTGGCCGCGTTTTCGGCACAGTGACCCTTACCAGCCACCGTCGCTTCAGCTGAAGTTCCCGCGGCGCGCACTTTTTAGTTTGCAACGGCACCAAAACTTTGAAGCTGAAATAATGGCCGAAGGAGGAGACGGCAGCGCCCAGGACATCCATCAGCCCTCAAAGAAGACTAAATCGGAAGTATGGGCATATTTTGGATTTCTGAAAAATGCTGAGGGACAGTTAATAGAAGACGGCTATCCCGTTTGCAGAACGTGCAGGAAACAAGTGTCTGCAAAAGGCAGCAACACTTCGAATCTAATGGCACATCTGCGTGACCATCACCCACGTCTCTACAGCCAGTGCAAGGTAAGATAACATTAGCATTTTAGCTTAAATGCATGACGCGAGGACTTTTGGTTGAGGGAGAATACAACGAGTCACTATAAACTGCAGCCGCAGCGTCCTCTGCCAGCATTTAAACCGTGTCACGGACACCCTGTTGCTGGATGAAGCATCTTATTTGTTGATGATGAAGAGAAATATACAATTAGTTCCTTGTCATGGATTTGTTTACTTATTCAATGCCATTTATACTTGAACATTTGGATTTGATTACATAGTGTAGTAGTTATTTTAGTAATTTGTTTAAAGTGGCTATTTATTTTAAATACATATTTTTTTAAGGTTGACTTGTACAGTGCTCAAATCAAGTGTGGACTGGAGTTTTAGATTTTCATTTTGATAATGAAGAAAACAAGTATATGAGAAAACAAGTGGTGTTTCTTTGATTTGTTTACATATTGTTTGTTTTGAATGTTTGGATTTGTATAATTTAAACCTGCACTGACTACTGTAACATGTTCCAGAAAAATAAGCGGTTTGTTCCTTTACTTGTGAAAAGTTGCACTTTTGCTAAGGCTTTGTGTTATTTTAGGTTTAATAAACACTGTTAAACCTTTTCTAAACTATTTCAGTTTGTGTAGAACAGGACTATCAATGCTTTCTGAACATATGCAACACCGTTTAAAAAATACCGCGATAATACCGAAAACCGTGATAATTTTGGTCACAATAACCGTGAGGTTAAATTTTCATACTGTGACAACCCTAGTGAGCAGCTTGGTCATTTGGGAGGGGCTCGGAGTAGACCCGCTGCTCCTCCACATTGAGAGGAGCCAGTTGAGGTGGCTCGGGCATCTGGTCAGGATGCCTCCCTGGTGAGGTTTTCTGGGCACATCCGACTGGGAGGAGACCTAAAGGTAGACCCAGGACACGCTGAAGGAACTACGTCCCTCACCTGGTCAGGGAACGCCTTGGGATTCCCCTGGAATAGCTGGGAGAGGGAAGTCTGGGCCTCCCTGCTTAGGCTGCTACCCCTGCGAGCCGACCCTGAATAAACGGCCGAAAATGGATGGATGAATGAATTGTTCCCTTAAAGCAGAAACCTGGAGTTTTCCTCCTTTCAGGAATAACTATTATTTTATTCAGAAAGTGAAAGTCTGACCCTACAACACGATATAATGTAGGATGTCATTAAATCCTCACAAGAGAGGCGTTGCTTCCAGCTGTAATTACAGTAGAGAAGGGCTTAAAGGTGCAGTACATTATTTCTGCCTCTAGATGGCGTCCTCTGACAACAAACACCGGATTTCTGCTCTAACAGGAGCGTAAATTGCTAGTTTGATGACGATGGGATGTTATATTGATGCAGTGAGTAGTGATTTGCCGAAATCTCAGATTCAGACACAAAAACCTTTAGACCCGAGTGGATTTAGGGTCCTCCGGTCGGCATGAGTCGATATTAAAGTGATTAAACACGAACATTTTCCAGGGGAGAGACGATTTCTCCACCTCTGATGAGTCAACACGTTGGGTGCTGAGCAGGAACAGGTAGGAAGCAGCATTTGATTTATCGGTGTGTTTTTTAGGGAGCTTGTTGCCTCGTCCTACAGGTTTTTGAGGCCTTGATGAAGTTTCTCTTCATGCTTTCCTCTCCGACCCCAGGACAAACGTGGTTGTGTGAGCTCACAGACACCGAAACAAAGTGCTGCAGGACTTGGTCTGTAAACCTTTTCACTTTTATTGTCTACATTTGGATCAGCTCTGTGTGGAAGCCTGGACAGCTGCTTTAACCCCCTCCCCACAAACATCAATACAAATCAACACACTCCCCCCCATCTCCGTCCACATCTTCACCACACACACTCGCTCAGACACGCCATGTCCAGATCTCTGTGAAATCTCCCGTGTCCCGACTCATAGCAGCAGGAGACACGAATAAAAACATGTAACAGAGCCAGGATGGCTGAAACGATAACGGTCTGTTTCTCACTCGAAGATATGAGAGCAAAAGTCTGGAGATTAGCCAGCAGAACTGAGATATGTGGGTCTGATCACAGAGTCGTCCTCCATCACTCGCTCTGATTCCTTCACCAGTGACGTCACGTCAGCTGATAAATAATTCAGAGACTCGAGTTTTCGTAAGTGTGTGTGTGTGTGGGGGGGGGGGGGGGGTAATCAGGATGCTGAGATGATAAAAAGAGATAATTACCTAAAAGAAAACACATCCACACCTGCAGATACGTACATCCACACACTCCAGCGGAGGATAAAAGCCCTTTGGAGTGTTTTTTTAAACTGATACGAGCCTTTTTTTCTGAACGTACATGATCAGGACGTTATGGGTAACTGACCCTTACCATCACCAGTCCACAGTGTGTTGATTCAACGTTAATCAGCTTTAAAGACAACAGAGACGAAAACAAGAGAACCGGACAGTCCAGGTAAAGACTAGACAGAAATCTCAGATAGCACAAACGTTTCTCTACCTCTACGTCTCTGCTGAGGCCAGACGGCGGATTTAGCTCCATCGTTTTCCTTTAAATGTGCAGAAATTCCTCAGGCTTGTCTGTCAGATGAGATGCCAGGAAGTAACACCAGGGGGAGACACACACTGCTGCGTGGCTGTAGGAGGGGCTGACACACACACACACACACTGAAACATGCATTCTTCATAAGAGTTAAAAAATTAAATAAAAAAGAACTCAAGGAATTCAGGCCCTCTGCAAAGCATACATTCACCTTAGAGTTTACACACACACACACACACACACACACACACACACACACACACACACACACACACACACACACACACACACACGCGAGTCTCTCTTCATGGTTAAAATCTCAAAATAAAAAGGTCCAGAACAACAATAAGACAACAGATATGGTCTCTAGAGTGAGTCTCTGCTCGTGGTTCGCTCTGAGGAACATCTCCTCCCTCTGGTCTCTGGCAGAGGTAGTACCATGCCATGTCTCCTCCTCGTCCTCCATTCCTGACTCCCTGCACGGGAAGTGTCTGTCCTCGTGCCCAAATGTAACAAACATGCCCGTTTCAGTGTTTTACTCGTGGCCGCTCATTCAGGGCCGCGGTGTGTCAGCGTGGGGGCGTGGTCAGAAGACCTCCGGTAGTGTGACGTTGCGGAGCAGCCACTGTTGGGAGCGTGTGTGCGTGCAGTCTCTGACGCTGGGCACCTGGCTGTCCTCCTCGCTGGCCTTGTCCAGACACTGGTTACTGTTCACGTGGACCAGAGTCAGCTTCTACATGCACCACAGGGAGAGAGGGAATGAAGAGTGAATCCATCTAAATCCCTCTTTTGTGTTTTTGGCTCAGTTCCTGGTGGCTGAGCCACACGTGGCCAGAGCGCCTCCCACTCACCACAGGATCGTACTCCCACAGCTGGTTCCCTTTAAGGTGGTGGCACTTCAGCATCATGACGGGTCCGTTTAGCTTGGAGACGTCCAGACACAAGTCATCTGTCCTGATCTCCTTGTTGGCTGTGTAGGAGAAGACCTGCCGTGGTGCAAACACACGTAACACTGGTGTCACCTGTGTGACATCACTGGTATGGAACGTGCTGTGCAGAGGCTCCACACTAAGCAAATGTTCCTACATCAGTGTTCAAATCTTAAATGAGGAAACTGGGCCGTAGATCAGCTTGTGACGAAACTAAGATCCAAATTCAAACGGAGATTTAAGGTTTTATACGAGTTTGACTGTAAACACTCAGCTGTGGATGTAAACGTTTGCTTCCTGTCGGGTCTCCTACCTGGTTACCTCCCATGCCGTGGCAGTTAAAGATGCCGACCTTCTCATTCTCCTTTCGGGCCATGTTGTCCAGGCACTGGTTGGTCTCCACATTTCGGATCTGAGACAAAATCCCACAAAAACACTCACAGAGGGGAATGTTCACTTTGTGTGTGTGTGTGTGTGTGTGTGTGTGTGTGTGTGTGTGTGTGTGTGTGTACCTCTCCTAGAGAGTAATAATGCCTTGGGATCTGGGAGTCAGGGTAGATGTTCTCCAGGTACCAGCTGAAGGGTTTACACTGCAGCTTTTGTCTCAGAGCAGAGCGAGAGGAGATGTCTCCGTAGTCCACTTTAGTCACACCTGGACACACACACACACACACACACACACACACACACACACACACACACACACACACACACACACACACACACACACACACACACACACACACATACACACGGTAGAACATCAGCGGCTGTAAAGTTGGACGTTCAGCAGGAAAGTGCTGGTTTGTTTCTGTCGGGCCACCAGACGGGTCAGAACCTCTCCTTCATGAGGCCGTACAGAACCCACCGGGTGTCATAATTCAGATGGAAAATTGGACCCTACATCAAGAGGCTGGTAATGCATGAGGTCATAGTTGTCTCCCTACAACGTGTCCTGTTGTCATGACGACTGGGCTGACGTGCCAGCTGTTTGTGGGAAGCGCGCTGGAGCTGGATGGGAACAGCTGAAATGATCCGTCCAACAGGCTGGTGCTCGTTGATCACTCGTGACTTTTGCCCGACGACGTCTGACAGAGCGAGAAGAAGCAGGAAAGCTCCTCTGTCAGGGTAATTCTACTGCTTGGAGCCGCTGGCCATCTTTTATTGTTTCCTCATGAAAAACACCCAAAGTGGTTTTGGGCTCCACTCATCCCGTCTCAGCTGCTTTCCTTCAGCTCTTCTCATTTGTACGAAGGTGATGCAGTCAGCTGGATGAGGCTAAAGCTACGACACAACCACCTGCTCCCCCCCCCCCCCCCCCCCCCCCATCCAGGTAGTCTCCTCTTCTGGGCTGTAAACACTAACACCCAGTCTCTCCATGTAGCTAGCGGTAGTTTAATCTCCACAGCTGTGTGCTAATGTGGAACTTCTCATTGAAGAACAATGAAATACATAATCCTGAATTAAAACTCAGACCACATAACAGCCATTTTTACACATTTTATGGAAAAAACAGAAAACACAAAGAATCTGCAGGATCACATCAGTTAAACCTGCAACGCAAACGTGGAAAACAAATGAGCTTCAAACTTTTTTTCATGCCTCTTAACAAGATTCTAACATCATAAAGCTATAAATATATTGTGGAGATAAAAAACTCGAATAAATATCAAAGTGGTTTTCTCACATTTGTCTGAAAACCTCCACCAAAAACACGTTTCAGACCAAAACCAACTATTGGTCCATTTGTTGGTCTCAGAACCGCCACACTTCCCCGGGCCCTCCACTCATCACACACTCACGAATTCAGCAGCACAACACCACTGGTGCGAGGTTCTCCGCTCAGTAACATCAGAGGAGGAGAAACAGCCGGCTGCTACCACTTCAGCATCAGGACAAACTACCAGAGTCCCAAAACGAAAATCAACGTCTGAATTCACGGACAACGGAAGACATTTGGACCTAGAAAACAGCGACTGGTGTTTTAACGCTATCCCGCGTCCGGCTCCGACAGAACAATCTCAGGAAAGATATCTTGGGGGGGGGGGGTAACGCTCAAAACCTAGCTTGCTCTGTAGATTCGCTAAAGCAGCTTTAAGCAAACCTATAAATGTTTTAGTGTATTCATCTACAGTAAACCTGGTGAAACCTACAGTAGACTCTATTGCAGCCTGGTGTGTGTGTGTGTGTGTGTGTGTGTGTGTGTGTGTGTGTGTGTTCATGCAGGTTAATAGATCTTTTGTAGCGTGAAATTACTCGCCACCCCCTCATCCTACACCGCTGCAATATCACAGTCACCAGGTTAATGGATTGATCGCTCCCTCCATGGAGATGAACCTCCACACACACACACACACGCACGCACACACACACTCACCAGGAGAGATGATGTAGAAGAAGTTCTTGAACTCGTCCATCCAGACTTCTGCCAGCCGTCGGTTGTTTTTGTTGATGATCTGGCCCGTTCCTCCGGGAAACGTGTACGGCGTTGCCTTCCTGAACACGTGACCCACATGAGAGCACGTGACGATCTCCAGAGTCCCCCCACACTGCCAGATCTGACAAGAACAGACATCTTAGAGACTTTGTGGGCTGGGAAAAGACAGAGGCCTGCTGGAAGTCCATCCTCTCAGCTTGTGACAGTGTGAATGAGCCGGTCCACACGGTAGGTGTGTGTTTGTGTGATGAGCTGCCGGTAAATGGAAACACTCCGTCATGCCGAACGGCTGCGTTCACTCACTCGGAAAGAGATCTCCAGGTTTTCTCCGCCCCAGATGTCCATGCCTGCATCATAGGTGCCGATCTCCTGAAAATAATCTCTGTCTATGGAGAACAAGCCGCCTGCCATGGTGGGAGTCCTGAGCAGAGAGAGGAATCAAGAGCAAAGCGGGTGAGCGTCACTATTCAGCAGCAGCCCGTTTTCTAAAGGTCACCGGATCTACAGATCCCAGATCAGGCTTAGATTTCACCTCCGCTCCTTTACGGTCTTCCTGTTTGTTCATTTTTCCTGCTGCTGTGATGCTCACGTCACCGTTTAATGGCCTCTGCCCCCCACCACACACACACACACAACGGTTTCCTCCTTTGTATAACTGGCCCACTTTTCCATACGGTCTGTTTTTAGCTTTATTCCAACGTGCAGGTTCGCCCCCCCCAACACACACACACACACACACGCTGAAGGTAGCGGTGATTACAGAGGGTAATGGATGCGAGCTCTTCTAAAGCCCTCGTCTCGTTGCTTTTATGAGACTTAAACACGCAGCAGGAAAACAAACAGCCACTAAATTAAAGACACTTTGATCCTGATTAAAGCCGTTTACCCAAACGGAGCGTGTCACCATCATAAAAGCCGTGTTTATGGCCTCCTGCTGAAGTTTGCTGCTGCTGACAACAGAGAATACAAGAAAACTGGAAACCAGGGTAGCAGACGCGCTCACGGCCGTTTCCGGTCGTCTGACGACTTCTCTTTGTGGAAGGATTTTCCTCATGACTGTAATTTACAACAGATGAGCTGCTAATGATAACTTCCGCTGCTGACAGCTTCTTCTGAATGAGACTCGTCACATTTGGTAGGAAAGAGCAGAGCTAGCGGTTTTCAACAAAAGGCAGTTAAACACACAGAGACTACCTCAACAACCGCTGGAAGTCTAAACGTTTCCACCCAAAGCGCCGAAGTCACCGAGGTCACGACCATCGCTGCTTTGGTCTGGATGTCCCGCACACAGACTAGTTAGTCTCTAGAGCAAGGATGTCTAAACTTTTCAAGACAAGGGCCAAAATCATGAAGGTAAAACTCCTCATGGGCCACAAAAATAAAATAATAAAAACTTTTAAAATGCAAACATTATTTCATGTTTTTAATTTGTTCTGCTCAAAAAAGGCCTAAAATAGATGTAATGTAACATCTTGAAAATAAAACATTAAAATAAATGAATTTATATCAACAGCCTGCTGGAGAGACTTGTGAGCCACACAAAATCACTCTGTGGGCCGCAAACGGCCCCCGGGCCCCACTCTGGACACACCTGCTCTAGAGCGATGGATGGATGATGGATGGATGGATGGATGGATAGAGGGATGGATGATGGATGGATGGATGATAGATGGAAGGATGATAGATGGATGGATGGATGATAGATGGGTGAATGGTGGATGGATGGATGGATGATAGATGGGTGTATGGGTGTATGGGTGGGTGTATGGGTGTATGGGTGGATGGATGGGTGGATGGATGATAGATGGGTGGATGGATGATAGATGGGTGGATGGATGGATGGATGGGTGGATGGATGACAGATGGGTGGATGGATGATAGATGGGTGGATGGGTGGATGGATGGGTGGATGGATGATAGATGGGTGGATGGATGATAGATGGGTGGAAGGTGGATGGATGGGTGGATGGATGATAGATGGGTGGATGGATGATAGATGGGTGGAAGGTGGATGGATGGATGGATGGATGGATGGATGGATGATAGATGGGTGGATGAATGATAGATGGGTGGAAGGTGGATGGATGGATGGATGGATGGATGATGGATGGATGGATGATAGATGGAAGGATGATAGATGGATGGATAGATGATAGATGGGTGTATGGGTGGGTGGATGGATGATAGATGGGTGGATGGATGGGTGGATGGATGATAGATGGGTGGATGGATGATAGATGGGTGGATGGATGATAGATGGGTGAATGGTGGATGGATGGGTGGAAGGATGGATGGATAGATGATAGATGGGTGTATGGGTGGGTGGATGGATGATAGATGGGTGGATGGATGGATGGGTGGATGGATGGGTGGATGGATGATAGATGGGTGGATGGATGATAGATGGGTGGATGGATGATAGATGGGTGAATGGTGGATGGATAGATGATAGATGGGTGGATGGGTGGATGGATGGGTGGATGGATGATAGATGGGTGGAAGGTGGATGGATGGATGGATGGATGGATGATGGATGGATGATAGATGGAAGGATGATAGATGGATGGATGATAGATGGAAGGATGATAGATGGATGGATAGATGATAGATGGGTGTATGGGTGGGTGGATGGATGATAGATGGGTGGATGGATTATA